AACTATTAACACTAAAATCTTTTTTATCTTATGAGACCCCTATTTAAGAAGAAAAAAGTGTCGTTTTTTTTAGTTTACGCAAAAATGTTAGTTTTAAAAAGAAAAAAAAATTATCAAAATTAAAACCTATAAAAAAAAAAAAACATATATATATATATATATATATATATATATATATATATATATATATATATATATATATATATATATATATATATATATATATATATATATATATATATATATATATATATATATATATATATATATATTGAAAGGCTATCATGCCAATAAAATATGAAATAAAGAAAAATGGAAAAAATTTAAGTAGGGTTAAATGAAGAAACTAAAAATAAATTGACGTCAGCAGCATAATGATTAAAATTTAGTTCACAATATAATAACCTTAAATATATAACTAGTTTAGTAAATGACTAAATAATAAAAGCTAAAATAAAAAAACTTAAAATACTTTAATAGAAAATAAAGATCTTTAAGTTAAAAAGAAAGTTCACCAACAAAATCATACAATATAGATAAAGAAATCTATAAAGCAACGGTTTTATATTTTGTTTTAAACGTGTTAGCTTTATCAGAAGATTTCATCAACTATTAATATGCACCAAGCAACGTGAAACGTTTTACGGCTGTGCAACGGATTTGTTTTTAACCTAAGCATTATTTTCCATTTGGAAAATGCGGCTTGAGTTAAGTTGTGTGTGCATATATATATATATATATATATATATATATATATATATATATATATATATATATATATATATATATATATATATATATATATATATATATATATATATATATATATATATATATATATATATATATATTGAAATTTAAAAAGTTTTAGTTTATACAAAAAATCTTTTTAAGTGTTATTAAAGTTTTATTGAAAAAAGTTTTGAGAAATTTTAAAATAAAACTTTCTTACTGAAAATAATCTTTCTTTAAAAATTAAAAACTCAAGTCAAAAATGTAAAAAATGAATCTATAATAAGAACCATCTACATCTTTCGGTCAAAGCCTTTTTAACGTAGCTACGACTTGTACACAGTAAGTAGTCGAGCGTGACTCATAATACTATTTTTGTTTCTATATTAAATAAGTTTGTGCTAGAATAAAATAAAAGTTAAGAGTTCAGAGAACTGAAAACCATATTTAAAATAACGTTTTTTTATTTCCGTTGTTGTGCTATTTGACTAATTGAGCCAACTAAAAAGATTGTTGTAAATGATAATTTACTTAAATTATTTATTTTAAATAATATATTTAAATAAATGTTTTTGCAAATACATTATGAAATTATTTCGCAAACGTTTGGCAAACTTTTGCTTGCGGTTTCTTGTTTGTAAAAGATTTTCTAAGTTTTTGTAAAAGATTCAGAAAGCATGGGGAAAGGGGTGTTAGATAATTAAAAACTGTAATACTTTTTAGTACAAAGTTTAGTTGCGACTTTAATGCTCCACAATCTTTATTGGTTTTCATTGGTTGATTAATTTTAAATTCTTTTTTAAATTGATTCGTGATATTTTTTTTTTGAGAGAGAGAGCGAAAGTTTACAAAGTAATTGAATTAATAAAATGTGGTGGTTATCTGAAAAGGTAAAGTGACTTTAACTTAGCCACAAAAAACATTCATATAGTTTCTAAGTGCACCCCTAGAGTTCTTTTGGTTATCTTCAATGTTTTGTTGACTTTTACTAATGAAATAAGATGCATTCCATGTTGTGCTTGTAAAACGTTTTTTGAATAGTCCATCCTTCCAATAATAAATAAAAGGGTTTACTACTGCAGATAACTTTCCTAAAAAGGCAGCTGAATGAAGAAGCCATTTTGGTATTCTAGTTAATGTAAAAGCTGATAAACAACCAATTGTAGCATACGGTGACCAACAAATTATAAACGATGTTACCATTAATACAAATGACGAAAACGCTTTTTTTTCTTTTTCTTTGTACCTTTTTGTTTCTACATTTTCTTTGCCATATGTCACATAAAAAAACTTATACTTTGAGCGCATCACTTTGGCTGTATATATACATGAAATTAAAATTGACATAACAGGAATTAAAAATCCAAAAGCCACTATCATTATCAAATAAACTTTATCAGCAATAGTTTTAGGAGAAAAGTCAATTGAACATCTAGAGTGCGTACCTTCTAATGTGTAGGAAGAAAATCCAAAAAGAGGAAAAACAGCCCAAATAAATCCATAAATCCATGAAATAAAACCAATTTTCCTAAATAATATTTTGTAGTTAATTTGGTTGCAATGGAAACATGTACTTAAGAGCACCATTCTTGAAAGAGCCATTGAAGTAAGCATTGCAATTGTCGTAAATGAAGGAAAAGCTATAAAAAAGGCAGAGAGTTTGCATAACATCGTAGCTTTTTGTAATTTAGCATCAATAAAGAGTGCTGGTATATATCCTGCAATACTTTGTAATAAATCACTTAAAGACAAGTTAATACACAATATAACGTAGTTATTCTTTTTTTGTTTTTTGAAGAGGAAATACAACGAAACACTGTTAGTAAAAATAGCAACTGAAATAATCGTAATAAGTGTAAACTTTACTCCATCCATTATTCTTCTTCTTCCATTACTACTTTATCCATTATTCTTCTTCTTGCATTTCTACTTCATCCATTATTTTTCTAAGAAAAGCAATCAGTAATAAAAATTAAGGTTTATTTAAATAAAGTTTTATAAAAATATTTGATATAATTGCGACTAAATAAATAATATATTGTTTACCATGATAATATGTAGTTCATATATTACATAATATATAGCTCAGCATAATAAATTAGTGTTTAAAATAGAGTTAAAATGAATTTGATTTTACAAAAATCTATCTTTTGACTCTACTGTATACAGTACATTTGTATTGAAGTTTTTTTTTTAATCAACAGTTATAAGATGTTTCAAAGTCATCTTTTGTTATACGTTGTAACTAATTAAGGTAAAACATAGAGCGGCAAAATTTTTCTTTCGTGATATGAATTTTTCTTTCGTGATATGAATTTTTCTTTCTGTTTTGTTATCAGATATAAAATCTTGCGTCTAATGACGTAAAAAGACTTATTTATAACTTTTTTTTACTACAAGTATGGAATGCTTGCATGTTTCTTTAAATATTGAAACATTTTTACAAACTTCTAAAAATATAAAAATTTCAATTTCGTATTTTAAAAAAAAAAATTTGAGTTGGCGTTAAAAACAGTAAATACACTTTTAGCCGCGTTTATGGGTGTACCAAGCTGCTTTTGAGTATGTAACTAGCCACGTTTGTGGGTGTACTAAAAGGCGGTATAGTTTGTCATCATGCATTAGGATGGAACAACTTGAAAAACTTTTGAAATTAGGTTTGCCTAAGTTACAAATCATTGTCTTTTAGTAAAAAAATTGCGACTCAAAAGAAGCTTAGTAAAATGCTTGTTGTGAATTAAAAAATTTCAATAAATTTAAATTTTTGGTTAAAAAAAATAGCAAAATTTTATATCTTTTATAACTTTAATTTTGTATTAAAATCGTTACTTTTTTTTTTAATTCAGTTTTTTTAAGATATAAATATATTTTCTCTCATATTAGAATCCGCCATAACTCTTGGGTCAATTTATTGGGTCAAATTATATTTTAAATATTTTTTACATTTTTAACTAATAGAACATCATTTGTCTTTCAGAAATGTTTTTTTTTAAACTTGTTTTTACAATGAAAATTGCCCCACCCTATTTTACATTTTAAATACCCGAAATTTTTTTAAAGCTTGTGCTTATTAATTACGTTAATTATTCTTATTTATGTCAATTTTTTTTCTTTATTTATTAAAAGATTTAAAATCATATAGAAATATTTACTTATTTTATCTTTGCATATAAATGTCCCCTCAAATTTAATTGTATTTTTTCCAATATACAAACCACTACTAGAAATTCCATTAGGTTATCGGTCAGTATTTTATTCACCTATTGTTCCGCTTTTTCATGTTAACTTTAAAATTTTAAAATAACGTTATTATATAAACTTTTTAAAAGTATTTTTCAAAATTTTATAAAAATCATTTAATGTAGTAGACTACTTCCTTCCAAAATTCTTTTTTATCCCGTTTCCTGCGATTCTTTTATATCTGTTAAAATACTTTTGTTGTCTCCACATTCTTTTTTTTTTCAATAAAGTTTTTTCACTCGTCATTTCGAATAACGTGCTAATTAAAATTAAAGTTTGTTCAGTTAATTCCTGAATTTCTTAATTAAATTAATTTATTACTAATGCAGCGCTTTAACACTTCGCTAACAATTAAAACTTTTTACCGTCGTAAAATGCTACTGGCGGAATTTTTATTCTACAGGCGTAAATTTAGAGTCATAAAATATTTTTCAATTAAATGTTACAAAACTTTTCCGCATCAAATTTTGTATCTATGGCCTGAATTTATTTTTAGAAACCGGATCAAAACCGGATAGAAAGTCCGGATCAATTACATTCTCAAGACATAAAGGTTAAAAGTCTTTTTGAGTTGATTCAAAAACATTCTAAACCACATTTTTGTACAACTAAATATTCATATCTTTAGATCTTCAACAAAAATTTCCTTAGGTTTTTCCTCAAAGTTTTGACATTTTATCTCCGGTAAATGTTTCGAAAATTTATCGCCGGTAATTTTTCTTTGGAAACTTTTGTATATTTAAGTTTTATTGCAAAGGGTACATAAATTTATTTCAAAATGTACATAATTTTACATGTAATATTACTATTGTTAAATAATAGTTTCATTATTATTTGATAAGTATTATGTTATTATTATTTGATAAGTATTATGTTATTAGTAATTAGTTTTCAATTTAATTTAATAAGTGAATAAAGGTTCATATACTGATAAAGCCAGGGAGCTGTGAAGCAGCGGAGTGTACATAAATTAACCAAGGCTTTTGTTTTAGGCAGACAGTCTTTTAATTAGTTTTCACAATTACACAAGTCTTTCCGTTCAAATTTATCACTTTTTATACAATTCAGAATGATGTTCTTTATCATAATCAATTATAAAAATAAGGGGTTAGTAAATTATTAACCCCTGTTTGAATTTACTTTTTTAGTAAGTTATTAAATTTTAAATAACTTGTGTAAACAAACTATATTCCTATGTAATCAAATAATATATTAATTTAGCAAAAATTTATACTTTTAATAATCATTTCTGATACAATTTATAACTTTAGTAATGCAATTTTGGTTTTATCATTTTTGAAAAATGTTACATATGTTAAAAGTTTTCAGAAAAAGTCAAAACAGTTAAATCAAGAATTGAAAATACTTGTTTGTTTTACAAAAATTTGTTTGTTGTACATTACATTAAGTTAAAATTTATTGTACTTTATTAAAAAGTTTTAAGAAATTATATTTACTAAAAACAGTTTTGCAATAAATACAGTTATTTAGTCTCCTTGAAATTTTGGCGCAATACAACACTTTAAGTGACAACTTCAATCTGATTGGACAAATATTTTCAAAAATTATTATGATATTAGTTATGATATTAGGACAAAAACATTTGAGACATTTGATAAAAACATTTGAGACATTTGATAAAAATATTTGAAACATTTGATAAAAACATTTGAGACATTTGATAAAATGCCTCTATTAGTACTGATCGTTATCAAAACGAGTTATATTTTACGTTGCTTGTTATATATTTTCTTTTTTTAAAAGTTAATGTGGAGCATTGCAGAAATGTATTAAAAAACGTAATCTTGCCTCGTAAAAACGGGGGAAGATGGCAAGATTTCATCTACCAGGAGTCGATGTTATAAAACTTTTTACCGGCGTAAAATCCTAATGAAGGTAAAATATACCGGCGTAAATGATTTTTGTTAATGTTATAAAATATTTTCAAAAAATATCAGCGATAAACTTTCTACTGACGAAATGTTTACTGTCGAAAAATGTTCCGGAGGAAAAATCTAAGAAAATTTTTGTTGAAGATCCGAAGATATGAATATTTAGTGGTAAAAAACTGTGGTTTAGAATGTTTTTGAATCTTCGGCTCAAAAAGACTTTGTTTTTGACAACCTTTTGTCTTAAGAATTTTATTGATCCAGACAATAGATTGTAAAAATAAATTCAGAGCATAGATATTTACAAAATTTGATGTGAAAAAGTTTTATAACATTGAATTGAAAAACATTTTACGGCTCTAAATTTACGGCGGTAAAAAGTCGCAGAGTAAAAATTCCGCCGGTTGAACATTAAAAAGTTTATTAACATCGACGCCAGGTTAAACAGGAAAACGATGTTAACATGATTTTATATTATTTACATTTTATATATCGTGGATCAGGGTTAAGCTAATTGATAGTGTTTTTGAAATTTTATAAAGTTGAAGACAGAAAACGCAAAACAAATCATCTTGCCCGATTACGTGACATTATGATAAGTTTACTGACCAGATAATTAGTTCATAAATTTTACATTTTTACTTTTATTACAAGTTTTTGTACTTGAAAACCTGAAATTTCACGAGGCAGTTATGACAACTATGATAAATCAAACAAACTAAAAATATATTATTGCTTTCCGACTAACGGTTTTTGCAAAAAAACTTTTTGAAAAGATTTTTAAAACGTCCGCCGTCTTGCCCCGTCTTCTCTTATAACGGAATAATATTTTAATATTTTAGTCATATATGCTTTTAAAGGTGCAGTTTATTTTTGTGTGTTATATAAGTTAATAAAATGAGTCATAACGAGACGAGTTGATGTCTCTTTTTTTCTCTTTTTTCTTTTTACTTAAAAAAATAAAGAAAAATTCGGTTTTAATAAAATCGAGTTTTGCTTTGTTTTATATTTTTCTTAACCCAAGATAAGGAGATAAATAAGAAAAATTATGATATAGAAGATAAAACAGAAATTTTGTGATTTACTTTTATGATAGTAAAAGCTGTCAAAAGTTAAATATAACAAACAGTAGTTTTGATAAGCAAAGATAAGTTGCGCAAATACATGAGAGATAGCCCGAGCAAGAAGAAGACATTTACTGTCTTACTACTGAGCCCCGTCAATATTGTCATATTGTTAGTGCATATGTAACAATAAAAAAATAAAGATACATACCGTATACAGTAATAATAATTAAAGGTATTAATATATATAATAAAAGATTTAAAGATGTGTTGAAATATAACGCAGAATATAATAGAATACTAGTCCTTAAAAAGACAGAAATATTGATTCTAACCTTTATTAAACTACATTAAAATTTGATATTTCAAAATTTGATATTTCATAATATAAACAAAATTTGAAAATACAACTTTAAGTTTTTTAAATGATTTGAGAATTTATTATTTTTGAAAAACTATATAAAATGCAAAATGGAAAGTTGTAAACGATATATAATAATAAAAAAAAGTTCAATATAAAACTATAAATACGAGAAAAATCGCTTTTTTTTAAAAAGATCATTTAAACAAGCATGTGGTGTGGTGGGGGTTGAACTTTTGAGGTGAGCACTCTACGAATACACCACTGCCGCATTTGAACCATTTGATTGTAAGATAAGTGTTCTACCACTAAAACTGCAATTATTTTTGTACTTAGTGCCGCAGTTGCTTACTTTGCATGTTAGAGATTAAAAGTTTTTTTTGAGAACAGTCATTGTTTTTTCATTTGTTATATATGTGAACTATATGTTAACAAAACTATATATATATATATAGTTTTGGCTGCTTAAGAAACATTCTTAAATTGTTTTATTGTTTTAAGAGCAACATCGTTTTTTAAGTTTTAACATTGTCATGAATTATAGCTGCAATGTTTAATAATTAATAATAAAGAGTCTATTGATCTAATCTAGGAGCTATCGAATTACGAAACAATACTGTTTTCTTTATAATCAAATTTTAAAAATAAATTCCTTGCAGATATTAATTTTTCTTTTTTTACATTTAGGTGAAGCTTTTACCATTTTCAATGCAATTTAATTTACCACATATCAGTTTCATAACATGAAACTTAAAGATTTAAGCTAATAGCATTGCAAATGTTTTTGTTTGAAATGCATCTTTTCCAGAACTCAGTTTCTTTTTCTCATTTTGCTTTATTTATTTTCTTTTTCCAGCACTTTTTTTTTCCTTAGAGATGTTAATGGATGAATTTTACCAGATCTCAACCTTCCGTTGAGCCATTGATTGGTGTTACTCCTGTTGTTATTTTTTTGCATAAAACTTTTTTTAGTTAAAAATTTGTTATTAGACATGGGACATCAAGATCAATAACTTTTTTCCAACTCAAAGCTTTTCCTTTTTAATACGTTTGTCTATCTTTTTTTTTCATAGATATAGAAAAACAGATTGAGCCATTTAGGGTTGATGAAATACCACAGGCACCACAGCTGATAGCTAGAGTTTCTAAAATTACAGCTTGATAGAGCTTATTATTTTACAAAAAAGTTTCCATTTTTATTAGCATCAGTAACTCATTTGTAATTGGTGCAGACCTTGTTACCAATTTTTGGTACCAACTCTCGTCTTTTGAATTCTTTGTTTTTGAAAATATTTAGCATATGTTTTTGAAAATATTAAGCTTAAACAGCATTCAGGTATTTTATAAGCTTGAGATACTAAATAAATTTCTTGAAATAAATTTTATAAAGATATTTTATAAATATTATAAATATTTGTTAATTTTATAAATATTAGTTAATTATTAGCATAGAAAATATGTCTAAGGTTACAAGCTAAAAAATATTCATATATCAGTTTTTTTATTTATTTTTTGTAACAATATCTACTTTATTTTAAAGCTAGGCGTAGCGCAATCTAAACCGTACTTCCCTACCTTTGCAACAGGCTGGATTCCATTTGGTATACCATTTAGTAGCGGAGTTGCGAAAACGTTTTCTCAAAGCAAACGTGGTAACGGACTGAGGTCGCTACCAAAAAAAATCCAAAGCGCTATTGCGCTTTTTTAGAAAAAGAGTTTAAACTAAAGAACATTTCATTTACTAAAAAAACGAAGTCAAAGGAAAATGTAGTAAAGGTGTTATCAAAAAAACTTTAAATATATTCAATTTTTAAACTAAGACATATGAGCCTTATGCCAAATGTTTACAAATAGCCTGACTGCATTAAGCAGATACTTGCATTGATCTTTTTCATTATCTCATTGAGATTAATCTTTATATCAAGTTGAACTTTTAAAAATACAATAGTAGAACAGCTGCAGGTTTCTTTTAGTGAAAAATTATAACAATAAATAATTAAATGTATTATATAGGGTAAAGTAGGGTAATTTCGGCAGGGAGATAATTTCGGCACCACTTCAAAAGACACCTAAAAATATTTATTTAATGAAATATCAAAACTATATTTGAGTATTATAGAAAGATAAACAGTTTTTCTAAAAATATTAGTTTAAACTTCTATTTTTACATTATAGGTACGTTATTTTATGATTATTAGCTTTTTCTTAACATTTTTTCCTTTTTGAAAATAGAGGATAAAAGATTTTTTCCGAAAATTTCTACCAAAAATTTGTATTTATTTCATTCAAAAATATATACTGAACAAAATGTGAGCAACAATAAAATTAAACTCAATGTATTTTACAAGATATAAGAGTTTCCCCTAGGACTGCTTTAAGGAGATAATTTCGGCTTATAAATAGTTCTTAATTTCGGCAGTGCCGAATTTGCCGACCTGTTGTTTCTCCAAAACTAAAATGGAAATAAGCGTTTTAAATATTATGTATAGAAGAAATTGATTTTAGTAACTCAGATAATATTAAACTAATAACGAGTTAGTAAAAAAGTGAATTTAGTTAGTGTCAATGTGAAACTTATCAAAATAATAGTTCTCCACAATATATTTTAAATTTATTTCATACATAACAATATGTATATAATAAATTTATAATTTGTTATTTACAATAATTATTATTGTATATAACAAATCATTTATTAATTATATACATACTGTTAAATATTATTGAATAATATACATATAATAATAATAATATATATATATATATATATATATTTATATAAATATAAATATATATATATATATATATATATATATATATATATATATATATATATATTTATATATATGTATATGTATATATATATATATATATATATATATATATATATATATATATATATATATATATATATATATATATATATATATACATACATACATACATACATACATACATACATATATATATATATATATATATATATATATATATATATATATATATATATATATATATATATATATATATATATATATATATATATATATATATATATATATATATATGTAAACATTATTTTACAGCATCATATAATGAGTTCAAAACGTGTAAAATATGGTAATTGGTCACAAAAATCATTAAAACTGGCAGTAAATGCAGTTTTATTTGATGGTTGCTCGAAATATTCTGCTGCTAAACAATATAAAATACCAAGACAAACACTACATGACTATATAAAACGAGCACCTGTTGATAATTTTGTTAAAAAGCTACGTGCAGGACACCCAACAACACTTTCAGCTTTTCAAGAAAAAGAGCTCATAGAAGTTCTTCTGACCATGTCTCAGAGATTGTTTGGTTTGTCTCCAAAAGATGTAAAACAAATGGTATTTCAGTTTTGTGAAGAAAATAGAATTAATCACAAATTTAATTGTGAAACTAAGTCAGCAGGAAAAGAATGGTTTAGGGGTTTTTTGAAACGCCATAATGAACTCTCTGTCAGAGTTGCTGAGTCAACGTCATTGCATTGAGCCATTGATTTTAATAGAATAAAAGTTAATCGTTTTTACGATGAACTAGAAAAAATAATGTTTAATGCTAATGGGATGCAGATTATTCCACCATCAAACTTATTCAACGTAGATGAATCTGGATTGTCTATTTGCCATAAACCAGGAAAAATTGTTGCTCTTAAGGGAAAACACAGTGTTGGTGGCTTAACTAGCTCCGAAAGAGGTAAAACAATCACAATAGTTTGTTGCCAATCAGGAAGCGGGTTTTTTGTCCCTCCGATGTTGATCTATCCACGTATTCGAGTGAAACCTGAATTTTTAGATAAAACCCCAATAGGTTCTATTTCTGGTGGCAGCAAAAATGGCTGGATAACAACTGAGTTGTTTGAAATATGGTTTGATCATTTTTTACAAGCAGTCCAGCCTCAGTCAAGAAACCAACCAGTTCTTCTAATTTTAGATGGACATTCAAGTCAAAAAAAAAATCTTAGTGTTATTAAAAAAGCGCGCCACTCAAATGTTATTATTTTATCACTTCCATCCCACTGCACCCACAAACTGCAACCACTTGATGTTTCGTTTTTTAAAAGTCTCAAAATATTCTATGATCAGGAGGTTAGTACTTGGCTTCGTCACCATCCTGGCTGTCCCGTAACTGAACTAGAGGTTGGTGAATTATTTGGAAAAGCCTATGGGAAAGCTGCAACTGTTCAAAATTGTCAGTCAGGGTTCAAAAAATGTGGAATATATCCATTTGATAGAAATGTGTTTACTGAAGAAGACTTTGCTGCAGCCAAGGCTACTGATCACTCGTATGTTGTATCAAAAATTTCAAAACCAAATAATACCTCTGAAATGCACCCTACTCTCAACAATGGGTTAGACTCTGCTAAAGAATTAGATAATATTGATTTTGTTACAGATTGTGTTATTGACACTCAAAAAGGTAAATCGTCATAAATGTTGTATTATTTTTAACATTTTCCGCATTTTATTTAAAATACAAATATGACTTTTTTAAAATCAAGCAAAATATTAACTTATCTGCTGTTTTATTAACCTAAAAAAAGGTTTCTTAAAGAAAGTTCAAATTTTTTTAAAACATTTTAACTATATTTTATAATTTGCATGTTGCCTATTTTTATTCACCCTCTTTAGTTAAATAATTTTTATTTAGAATCTATTTCACCAAATTCATCATTTACACTTCGGAAGTCATCAGAATTAGCCACCTCACACGATGAAACCTCACAATCTTATGGTGTTACATTTAGATCACTAGCTGGACTTGACATTAAAAATGCAAAGCGAACAGGTATAAAAAGGAGGGTAAATCATGCTGAAAAAATTACTGGATCACCATATAAATCTCAGCTAGAGGAATCTTTAAACTTGAAATATAAGAACAGCCACGTAAAAAGTGCATTAAAAAAAGTATATCTACTCATCAAAAGACGTGTTTGAAAAACCTTGATGCTAAAGGTGCGATTAATAAACAACTTTGTGCAAAGTGTCAATACAGTTATGGTGATCCTGTCCTTATTTAAAAGATAATTGGGATAAATGCCTTAAATGCTGTAGATGGTGGCATGAAACATGTGCTGCTATATGTGGTGTTTATACTAAAAAAGTATTTACTTGTGATGACTGTATAAAGCACTGATTCTTAAAAAAAAAGTTATGTCATATATTGATAAAATGTGTTTTAACTTTCTTAAATAAATCTCTTGTTAAAAAAGTTTCCTTTGAGTTTTGTTTTTTATTTTTTTAAGTTTAACTACTGAAGTTATGTAAAATATTATTTTATGAACTACTTATGAGCTTATAAACATAAATTCTTATTTAAACAGAATTTAGAAATAATCATCGAAATCGTAGAAATTAGTAATCGTTTCATTAACAATTATACTTGGAAGCACATTTATATTTAATAAGGTTTCTGTTTTGGCTGACATTCATACTTTAATAAAAAAGGTGACATTCATACTTTAAAAATACATGACATTCATACTTTAATAAAATAAATAGGTGGTTCAAAAATTATTATTTTTTGCAACTGAAACGCCCTTAATTAAATGCCAATTAGGTGTAACAAATTCTATTTAAGAGACAATTCTTTATACAATCCAGATTTATAGCTGTTTATAATATTTTAAATATATTAATGCGTTTTCAACAAACTTCTTAATTTTCATAACTATGCCGAATTTACCGTACCATAGTGCCGAAAATACCATACTAGGTCGCTAATTTCGTCATTTTTGAGTATTTTGTAAAACAGGTTTTACGTAAAACTTTGTAAGTTGGAAACAATTTTTTAACTATTATTTAATAGATATATCTGCAGTGCATCGATATGCATGATTTTTTAACATTATTAAAGCAACCGTTGTCTATAAACAGCAAAATAGCTTAATACGCCGAAATTACCCTACTTTACCCTATATATATATTTATATAAATTAAAAAATAACAAAAAATAATTTAATATTGACATGTTTTGTAAATTTATTTTTACATTTCATAGCAACCGCGGCGCAGTGGTTAGAGTTCTATCCAAGGAAAAAAATTGCTATAGAATTTCTATAAACTTAAAGACCATAAGTTAGTGCTGGAAAAGCTAAAGTTTTATATAACTGAACAATCAAGTTTGGGTGAGCAAAACGGATTCCTGATTGAATTATAGATTTAATATAGGCCATATGTTTCAAAATTTTATAGAAATTCTATAGAACCTTTTTTCTTAGGATCACAGAACTATGAGGTTCGAAGTTCAATGCTGGCTCTGGCCAAAATTATTGTAATCTGTAAGGAAAGAGGAATGCTTATCCTCTGCGGTGCTCTTTAATAAGACTGTTAGGTTTTCTTGGAGCACTAATAACTAATTATAAAAAAACTTTTTGAAAGATTGATTTTTTAACAAAAAAACTCTGGAATGATTATTAAAAATTGAAGATTTTACATAGAAATAAAGAAATAAATACAAAATAAACAGAGAAAAAATAAGACATAAATACAAACATAAATAAACGGACAAAAAAACACATAAATAAACTAATAAAAATGATTACAAAAATAAACTCGGTAAATAACTTCAATGGTAAATAAATAACGGTAAATGACTTCAAACTTCAATAATATCAATGTAAAAATTAAAATAAACTGGCAGTTGAGATAAATAAAATGATAATAAATGTGGATAAATGTGATTTTCTTAGCTTTAACTTATGTTAGGTTAGATCAATATCCAAAACTTTAAAAGAATCACAATAAGGCAGACTTTTAAGCAATTAATTGAGGTAGGTTTTTTCCTACAGCAATTAATTGATGTAGGGGAAAACGGGGCAAGATGGCGAATGGGACAAAATGGCTTTTCATATAACCACTCAACAACAATACATAAAAATTGGTGAAAACAAGACTGTAAATTTATTCATAAATATTAAAAAGATGTTTTAAAAAAATTACCGTTTACCACTATTAAAGCACCCAAAAAGTTAAAATTAAATCTCATATTTTCTACAATTTTTTCTGCGCTAGCTATAATGCCAGTTATATTGCGAAAATCTCAATACATCTTGTATTGAGATTATATAAAACGTCAATGGGTTTTTTTTATATATTGTTAACGCATTTTTAAGCGCATAAGTTTACTTTTTGCGCATAAAATAAAATACCTCGGTTTCGATTATTCGTAATGAATGGTGTCCTTTTAGGCAAAACAATTTTAATAAAACTTTTTGTGGCGCGTGTTTATTTTGTGTTTATTTTGTGTAATTTAGTTACAGTAGTTAGTAGTTTCTAAAATTTTATAAAATTGGAGAAAAAAATCACATAAGTCATCTTGTCCCGGTCACGTGACCAGGTGACCAAATCTATGATTCATGTAACGGAATCATTATTATAACATAAACATACTGATAGACAATATGAGATTTAATTCTAATTTTTTGATTTGCATTTTTGTATAATTAGAGACAATTCTAATGAATGGAGTAAATTATAATGAACGAATGGAAGTAAGAAGAAATATTATATACTCAGTATTTCTACTTTGCATGATTTATCGCGTTTTTTAAGATTTATGGAATTCTTTTTTTGACATGATTTTTGATTTTATGTATGATTCCATAATTTAAATTAGATTTTTCTTTTTTGAATATAAACCTAGTTGGAATAAAATATTTTCACAAATTTCTAAATCTGCATTTTCTAAAGCATTTTGATTTAATTTTGTCACAGAACTTGCAGTTTGAATATCATATTACATTCAATAAAAGTATATTTCAACTTGAGTTGTTAACCGAAAGATTTCGTAAAACTCTGGAAAAATAAAATTCTTTCGGAAGGATATTAATGTTTTTTTTGTGCCGAATTTTGCAAAACAAAAAGAATCGGCGATGTTCATTTCGAAAATGCAATATAGCCTTTCGCAAGTTAAATTACGAACTACGAAATAAAACTATTTTGCTACATACGAAAGTAGCGCTTTTTGAAACTGCACTTGCAAAACGAACTCTTTCGTTAAACGACGTTTTAATTAAAACGTCGTTTAACGAAAGAGTTCGTTAGTAAAAGTAAAAGCTATTTTAAAATGTAATTAAGTTTTAATTACATTTATATATCTAAAAATTTTATTTTTTACAGTTATATTCGTTTGGCCAACAAACTTTCTTTATAGACTTTATAAAGTCTATAAAGAAAGTTTGTTGGCCAAACGAATATAACTGTAAAAAATAAAATTTTTAGATATATAAATGTAATTAAAACTTAATTACATTTTAAAATAGCTTTTACTTGTTTTCAAATAGAATGATTTTATGTTTAGTTAGTTTCATTTTTTATTTTTATTTTTGAGGTGCTCTGTTACGCTTTTCTTACTTTTATAACAACAAGTATATTTGAAAAATTTTTTAAGACATGCTTTTCAAAGATTTTTTCTAAAATGTTTTTCATAATAAAAAAATAAAAAAGTTAGGGTGAAAGATGGGAAGGGTACTTGTTCCCTCTTCTGTCGTGGCCTTGGAAAATGCTTTAATATGCAACATCCTTTTTGTACCAAAAAAGTGGGCAAGTTTATTACGATCCCTCCCCGACCTTTTGCCCCTAGTAACAAAAAAAATCTTTAACATTTTTTTTTAAATTTTATTTAGGTGCCCCCAAGAAGTCGATCGACTGCCTTTAACCTACACGCTTTTGGAGAATTTTTCAAAATTTAAAAACAGTAAGAAATCGATATAAATTTGATCCTTATTGCATATATAACGTTGAAGAAACTGGTTTAACAACGGTACAAAAGCCAGTAAAAGTGTTAGCAGGTAAAGGAAGTAAACAAGTAGGAAGAATCACATCTGCAGAATGAGGAACATTAATAACTGTATGTTGTGCTTCAAATGCAATCAGAAACTCTATTCCTCCACTATTTGCTTTCCTTAGGATCAAATTTCATGATTTCAAGATAAAGGAAGGTCCTCCTAGATGCGTGGGATTTGCAAATCCTTCTGGTTGGATAATTTCAGACATTTTTATAGAAAGGATAAAACATTCTGTGAGGTATTCAAACTGTTCTCATGAATCTCCAGTTTTGTTACTTCTGGACACCCATAAAAGTCATATTTCTGTTAGAGCTTTGGATCTTACAATTTAACATGGAATTACAAAGCTAAGTTTTCCTCCCCATTGCACCCATACATTACAACCATTGGATAGAACCGTTTTTGGACCATTGAAAAGGTTTTACAATGCTGCGTGTGACAATTGGATGGTCATAAATCAAAGACCTATGACCATTTACGATATTGTTTCAATAGTTTGCGAACCATATACAAAAGCTTTTTTATACAAAAGAGGATTTCAATTAACTGACTTTAAACCATTTAACCCAGAAATTTTTGAAGATGATGAGTATTTACAATCATCAGTTACAGATCGTGCTGCTCCTAATGCACATGTTGATGGCATGGAGCCTGAAATACCTGTAGAACATCATGAAACAAGTTTTTTAATTAAAGTGTCAACAAGCATTGTTTTATTACTTTCACCTGAAGTTTTGAAACCCGAAAACATCTGCTACCCGAAAGCATCTGCTACCCGAAAGCATCTGCTACCCGAAAGCATCTGCTACCCGAAAGCATCTGCTACCCGAAAGCATCTGCTAGAAAAAAAAGTGTTAAAAGTAGGTAAATAAAAACAAGGATCTTAACTGATACTCCAATCAGAAATAAAATATGTTTGTCAGAAAAAAAGAAAACCCTAAAACAAACAAACCAACAAAAGAAACTCATCACAGAAGATAGAAAAAGGGGAGAAGTTCAAAACTACTTGCTTAGTAATAAAAAACAATGTAAAGTAAAAGCAGCATCACAACTTGACTTTGACAAATGATGATAATATAAAAACGATAGTCTTGTAAACTTTAGTTCTAATAAAAGTCTTGTATGAATCTTGTATTTTCTTTGTAAACTTAAATTACTGTATTCTTATAGACTTAAAAAGCTTCAAGTTTTGTAAAACTTTACACATCTACTTGTTAGTATATATAGATGTGTAAAGTTTTGTATACACATCTATATGTTAGAACAAATAGATGTGTAAAACTTTACATATCTATAGAACGGGCTTATTTTCATTGCTAGAATTTTGGTCATTCTTTTAATGAAAATTTACTTTAATGAAAATTTTATACACTGGTGTGTCTAA